CTTCAGTGCTCGACAGGCAAATTAGAGTTCAGTGTTCGGCCCCCCTGTTATTGTTGTGTTATTGCTTATGCTCACTTGTCTGACATAGTCAGCCCAAATCCACTAAATACATCGTGGCAAGGAGCGCTAAAATACGCCAGCCGTTGGCAATAGCCTTGAGCACCATTCAGGTGACAGTACACGTTTCCTCAGTTCCGCCCCCCCCCCAATTTTAATGGAGAGCACCCCGTAGGGACGGGTCCGAGAGTCTCCCACCCCTCTCCCCGTCCACAAAACTACACTAGAGGACTTTCAGCTCGCCGCATATTTAGAGTGCCGCCATGCCCCGCAGCGACACTATACATTTACAAACATTCATGCCTTCTCCGAGATTCGAACCCGGGCCTTTCGGCACGACCCGTCAGCGACGCTAACCTCTATACCGCTGGCGGGCGGCTTCGACGCCCTTTCCTTTGGGAAGTGAAGAGTCCAGACTACGACAGAATCCTATGCTTTGAAAAACTATAAAACGGAAAAAGTTCACCAAACTTCGCTTTTGCTATAAACACTGTTCTTTCAGCTATATTAACTCCCCCTGAGAAAGATTGCATGGTAGGACTACATTAAAGTTGTCATATTTTGAATATTACATTTAACCTCTAAAGTGCATAATTTGTTTCTAGAAAGTTTTTCTTAGCAATTATTGAATAAGACCCGAATTCTTTAACAAATCGAGTAAGCGGAGGTGCGAAACTTTTCCAAGACGCTGATGTCTTTACTAGCACTGGAAATTATAATTTAAGTAAACAATAACTAAATTATGAAATTCAAGACATTAAGCTCATTCATATCATAATAGTATAAAACTTACATCAAAGCAATTCACAGAATATGTAAATTCATAAAAATTAGATCATAATTACAAGGCTTTGATTGTATAGAGTATCCTTGTTCTTTATGGTAGCATAAAACTTGTAGTCTACATAGAAGACGAAGTAGTAGTCTACATAGCAGTCTTCTCGCTTTGTCTTGAAGAATAACTACTGCAGAAAGAAGGTGTTAAATAATCTTCTTATTTAAACTAAATTGAAATAGATGCACACACATTTTGCTCACAAATAACCAGCACTTGTGGCTAACGTAAATTTAACAGAATTAATAATGTAACAAATCACTAATAAATTAAGATATCTAGCGACTGTTCCCTTAGCTGAAATAAACGCTAAATCGGATGCACACCGCAAAGCCGAGCCGAGAACTATCAATATAAAATGAAAGGTGTCTAACACCAACTAGAGAGTTAAATTCAAACACGCAGTATAAACATCGGAACTAGATCCGCTGCTACTCTTTTCGACCTTTGGAAACGAAGCTTAAATACTGCTTCTGAAACACGTTTAGATTTGCATCTGCGTCATTAAAAATTTGCATTTAGACAGGAAACTGAAATCAGGAGAGAAAAGAAAGTCAAACCAAAAAATAATTGGTTAGAATAACAATGGTCCTTATAATATTTCCTGCCAGAATTTAAATAGTTGTAAATAAGTTCTTTAAACGACCTGTTCGAAAAATTTACGTTCTATCTTAAACTTGAAGAACCAACCTTACAACATAAAGCTATTTAAATATTTTGGAATTTTAACAATACAACTTCGAGGAACACAATTTTTAAATTTTGAATACATCTTTTATGCTGAGTCTCATGTCCTTCCAGTGGATCTGGAAGGAAACTAACATTAGTGAAAATTCTAGACAATGTATGCATTTCACTAGACAATTAATAAATTTTATTTTCGCTTTCACAAGTTTAATTTATCCACCCTTAGCTTTCCAGTATACTTTAAACGCAAGTACATGTGTAACAATTGCTACGTCCAGTAGAACGAACAATGATTACAAACATGTGGCACATATTGTCCGCCTGGTTTTTCTATCTCACACTCTGACTGGAAGTGTGGAGCTGCGTTGCCTCATACTCTCAATCACATAGCTCAATCCCTGGACATAAATCCCATCAAACATTTATGACTGAAATTCACATCAAGGTAAAATAACACAATATGCTGAATATGGTCCATATGAAAAGGCTTCTCCCAGTTTAAGGGGACAAAGATTCAGAAGAACGGTATTGACCACATTTTATTCTCTATTTTCATCACCGTGCATTCATTTTTATCCGTTGAAATATTATATATATTTTTACAAGTTTATTAATTTAAATTTTAATTGAGCATTTTGTAATTATTTTTCTAATATTCAAAATATTATACCAATGATAGATGTTTTGATAAAAATAATGAATGTTTTCAATTTTACCCATTTTCTGAGAAAATGTAAAGTGTGGTTTCACTAATACCACTTAATAACTTGTGCAAAAAATTTGCTTTCCCTGTAGATATTCTTAGCATTTAATTCTTGGACGAAACTATCCTTCTATTGTTCGTAACATGATGGAAGGGACGCTATTTGGAATTATAGTATTGAAATAGATATATGAATTATAAGCATAAAGATCTAATATTCAGTATAAAATTTGTCATTGATGCTTATCTTGAGTAAATAACTTTTATAGTTCAGAAAAGAACCAGAATATTTTGGTTATTTTGACAAGTATTTCCAACGTATAAAATTAAATTGGAAGAGTTGACAAATGTAAATACATGTATTGTAGTTGCAGTTTCGCTAGATATTCTAATATTTACTTTCGCGTTCAAAATTAGGAGAATTTCCACATTATGTCAAATTTATAAAAACGTAAAGGACAGATTTCAATGGAATTTAGTAACAGACATTTATAGTAGAGCGAGGTGTACCAGTCAAAAGTCATTCTATGAAAACGTGATTGTCACTAAGGCTCATACTGTATTGATGTCTGAATTTACGCTGTGATATCGAACTGTAAATAAGTATAAAATGCGGTATGGTTCCCTCTCACAGCCTGATAGGTCGCAAAGCGTGACGGCATTCTGGACAGGATGAAGCTGAGGAATCGCTGTGGCAGTCGATCCGACTCCTGTAATAAGTCACGTTTCAATACCGGGATGGTTCTCTGAGGGGAATGGCAAGAAGAATTTGCTTCTTAACATCGTTACCGACATGCTCTAAAAGGTTAAAGTCAGAAAAATTGGCTGGCCAACCCATGCTGCGAATATTCTCACTTTCCAGGTAATAGATGCTATCGGAACCTATGTGGATTACCGTTGCCGTGAAAAGTCGGACATAACGCTCTAAAATCTCCTCTCTGTAGCTCATAGCAGTCAGCAAGACTTTATCATAAAGATGCAGGTAGGTGCGGCCGTATAGCATAATACTTGCCCAAAGACTCTCCGTATTGCCTTATGAAGGTCGGGTATCGTGTTTCAGGCTCCCTCCAGATGCGGGTATGCCGAGACTAAGTGTCCAGGCTGAGTCTTTACTCATCTATAAAAAGCACGACGCTCCAATGTAGTCTAGTCCAAGGCGCATGTTGTCTGCACCATGTTAAAAGTGCTGTCATGTGGCCTCTAGTAAGCGGGACTTCTGACATAGAGCTCTATTTCATGAAACCTTCGGCCAATTTTAGACCGTGAAACTCTAGTTCCAGCGGTAGCATACAGATTATCCAGTCCTTATCAATATGTATTCAGTGTCCCGAAAGTATTTCCGAAAATTGCAGACGATACTAAGCAATTACATTGAGCTGTGTAGCCACCCGCGCTTGTGATTAAAATGTCTCCCACCTGCGAACCATTCTTCATCTCATTACGTCATCTATACGTTCGTGTATACTCATTTTTCATGAAACCTTAAAAATTACCCATCTCTTGCACGAAATATGGCGGATGTTATGAAGGATTAGCACGCAAATCGACGAAAGACCCTCGTGCTCTTATATCCCCTCCACAATCACCTGTTCCAAAGAACCCGGTTGTACTCGATTATGAATGTTTACACACATTATCGAATATATGTATTCGATTATGAATATTTACACAATTCTTCGTCGTCATAATTATTGCCTTTGGCTCAATATGTTTCGAAAAACAGACATAATTTCCGAAATTTCTTCATTTTGCACATGAGTGTATAAGGTATTTCTCCCGCCTTATACACTCATGAGCAAAATTAAGGTGATGATTCTCTACCACCAGGATATGGCGATTGGGTCCCTTAATCCCCAGTCGCCCTTTAAAAGGGGGAGTATATAAGGCATTTCTTCTGCCTTCATGGTGTTAGCACACTCGGCGCGCATTCGAGCGGTCTGAGGTTCGAGTCTGGGCGATGGCGCTGCTCATTTTCATTTCTTCTGCTTTCAAAAAATACGTCTAAGTGTATTAAGTGTTTGTTTATTATTATTGTTTTTATATTGTACAATGTATTTGATGCGCATATTAATTTTTATGTAAATATCCATAAAACTGGTACATATTTTATTTTGTAAAATATTTCTGTATTCTTATTTTCAGATGAAATTTTGACGGAACTCCGGGTGGTCTAAATCTGCAATATTTTGTTATTTTCTTGCAGATGGTATATAAATTCAAAGAGTTTTTGCATATTTATTATGCAATACAACTTCGAGTAAATTCATGCTGCTGTTCCTTTGGCATATCCTCCAGGATGGTAGATTTTCGCAAGGCATGCAACTGGGGTAACTTACTGGAGTCAACGCTTGCTGTCAAATGACTCGTAGCGCAACCCATGAGTACAAATATTGTTACGAAATTTGAACAGCTGCAATGATCCGTGCATAAATAAATTAAATTTTATTCCGAATCATACGTTTTCATACCATTTCGAATTAGTTAAGTTTTCAGTTAACGTATGTTTCAGATATAACCCTGTTATCACTGTTTTAGAATAAATAAAAGTAAAATTTAAATTTCGTTTAGCATTAAACCCGTCTTTATATTATTTATTTCTTCTAAATATGGAAAACTTCTCGGTGTTGAGTATATTTTAGAATGTTCAGTTATTTAATAATTTAAGTTTATGCATGTTTTAATTGTCGGATTCTTTATGATAACCTTTTATTGTTCCAGAATATTTGGTTCATGCAAGCTGCTATAAAAATTTGACCGAAGAATATAAAAAATGCGCCGATAGTTTTTTGCTCCAACAAGAACATACAAAAAAAATTGAGATGCCTGCTAAAGAAAGACTTCGAAAATCTTGCTGGTAAGTTATTCTATTGCCCATAATGGTTTGAAAAAAGGAAAAGAAACACTGAAGCGAGATTTAATGGCTATAAATACATTATCAATCTATTATTTAATTACGGCATTCGTATAATTTTCTAATTAGAATTGTCTTTAAGCGCGGCAAGTCTCCTCAAGACATATATGATATGTTTGTCTAAAATCATTCAGTTCTATTGTTTTCTCCTCTTTACAAATGTAAAAAATTATTTTATTATAAATATCATTTATATTAATGGTATACTTATACACGTAACTGAAGTTATTAATGTCTAGAGCAGGGGTTCTCAACACTATGCCAGTGGGCACCTTGTCGCCCGCCGATCATGTTACGTGTACCCGCTGCTGTGCGATCACAATAAAAATGTTTTAGCTTTTAGTAAAATTCTATGTGAAAGTTTTCTAATTTTTAATGAGATAAAAATTGCGCCGAACACATATACCACTACAAAGCGAAATGCGATAGATCTCTTTTCTTATGTGCATGTATTATTAACTCTATCCAACTATAAATTCACATTGAAAAAGTAAATGGTGCCCGCCGTCCAACAGATATTCTTGAATGTGCTCTTAGGGACAGAAAGGTTGGGAACCCCTGATCTAGAGCATTAATGAAAAAAGTTTCATGCGATACCTTACGTACCATTATGTACCTTATATACAGGATTAATATTTGTTCTCGTGTCGCTCAGCAAGAATTAGCGGTTTCATTATTTAATTGTCATTTCTTTATTATTTATATAATTTCGCAGCATATGGCGTAACTTTAATAATGAATTTGAATATCCATAATCTGAAATTTCTATACTTATTTTTACATATGTGTGTATATGTTCCTATATTGGATCATTCCATAAATAATGCGTTTTTTTCAGTTGCATGAAAAGTCGGAAGAAGGCGCGATAATCTACCTGCATCAACTTGCTACAAAATTACGTTGTTCTTTCTCACCAACAAAGCAGTATTCCTTAAGGAAGTATACAAACATTTATCTTGAAATATGCCCATGAAATCAAGGCAATATAATAAAAGCACAGATATTCTAGTACAAAATATCAAGGGCATTTTAGCATTAAAATCAAAGAAATACATCTTTCTCAAGGCAGCCTTGGAAAATCTGGGCTTTTTTAACGAAAACCTTTGTCGGTCAGAGAGTTAAGTTCTGAAGAATGCAGTTTAATGATTTTTAACAGTTGCTTTTCAAAGATGTAATGGAATTGAAATAGGAACAACATCGGGATATTTGCTTTCGAAGTTCAATTCAATATACATTAATAGGAATATTTGTGCATATAATATGGGTAATGGACAATAAGGGTAATGGCAATATGATATAATATGGGTAATGGACAATAAGCATAAAGCTAGTGTTTGCGACGATTCCTGAAATTCCGAGTTGGAAAATGAAACTTAGAAACAAGCCTTGCATGATCTATTGAAGAGCTGAACTACGATGGTCTTGCAAACACTGGTGAAGCAAACTCCCGTCGTAACTATACAGACACTAGCAGAAGAGGAAAGAGAATATATTTTAGATTGGAAAAAGTACTTAATATTGAACTATAAAATAAGCATAAACGAAATTGTAGTATGTATGAAACGAAGCGATAGTTGTATAAACCACATATATGTTTAATAAAATTACATTAAAGAGAAATATAATGAACATAAATATAAAGTAGATTTTTGATTGTGAGATCTTTTCGAAATATGCAAGTGGACATGAACATTTTCAGTAAAAGTAGATTAATAAAAAGTAGAATTTATGAGTTTCAGCTTTGTTTCCTATAAAGATATATTTGACCGTCATTCAAGAAAATATGAGAACTGCTTTGAAATGCGAAACTCTAATTAAAGATTGTTAATATCCCTTCAAAGTACTTGGTTCGAGTAAAGTAACAACGAAGATTAATTCTGCTGGCGAGCATTTCACTTAAAGATCCGTCAATCGATATTCTCCATTAACCCTCAATTAATTGACGATGAAATTGATGAATATGTCAGCACAGTTTTGTAACTGCGACTATATTCTCCTTTCGTTATTGAAAGTCGATAATTTCTCCTCATAGTTGATGCTATAATGTAAGGGATAGTGGTATATGCAGCGTTGGTTGAATCCTATCACTTGAGGTAACATACGAAATCAGAATGAAATGCCTATAAATAGCTTGACCTAATGTAATAATATAGAAGCATGCTGCTTAGATTACTTAATATATATGTAGGGTAATATACTGTAATCTTAAGTACGAACTGAAAACTTCAATAATCCTACATTTCGTTCTTCAAATGTTTCATTTTGTATCAGGGTTTAAGTAAGTTCGGCTATTTTCCATAATAAAAGACAGTACTACATTCTATCAATATTTTTTACATTATTGTCGTATATTCTCTCCCCATTAGTTTTATTTTTCACAAATATTCAGTTATGTTTTCTCAATTTAAATACAGGTGGAAAAATCTTCCTACCGGCTATTTTTCAATTTTACTACGGAAGAATTTCTGAGAATATATTTTCATTTCAGCTCACATAAATCTTTTGTATCTCTTCATAATGAAGCGAGTTGCAAAGTTTACGTTAAGAAAGGACTTTCTATTGGAAGTATCAATTTCTTTGCTTAATAGGTTCAATGCAAGTTGATGATTATTCTTGGAATTTTCACCATATAGTTTTATGTTTTATGTCGAGATAATATTGAATTTATATTGCTACTGAATGAATGTTCAAGATTCTGTACATTACAAATCACTCTGAATTAATAAATCAGTTTCATAAATTATTCTTAGATTTTTTTTCAAATTTTGATTTTGACCCAAATTACTAATCCAAAGAAGTTAATGCTTTTTGGAAAACTTTTGATGACTGAATATTTTGTTAAATAGAAATAGCATAACTTGTTATAAAATAAACATACAGATAATTTTTAGAAAACCTTAAACGTTGATATCAGAAAGGGAGATATTAAGTACATTATTGTGTCTTTCGCTTTCGATCTAGTATCTATTCGATTATCATGTCAGCATATGATTTCAGAAACTTGAACAGCATTTATTAATTTTTGAGCAACTTGGGATTAATAACACTCACTAACAATATTCTACAAAGTTAAACAATAAAATTATTATACAATGAAAGCAAATACGCAATGAAAAGATTATCAGTATTTTGATATTTAAATGTTGAACTTATATGTAACCTAATCATCATAATTTTCTTTCTGCGGGTAGAAATTACAATTGACATATAATGAAAGATGTTGCATTTTCTGTTTACTCAGTCAGAAGTGCAAAGTAGTCTACCTAAAAGAAATATGGTATGTTTATAGAAATATAAACAGCATTCAGAGAAGGTGATTGCAATACATTACACCAGAAACGTGTTGTTGCCAAAGTCTAAAATGTCTCAAAGACCGAAAAAATAACAGGACCATCATCTTCGGCAAATGTCTTTTAAACTGCGTGTTTACCATAGCACCAGAATTTGCAACACGCAGGTGACGTGCCATAACTCGTTTTTTACCATCCGTCCAAAAGTTTCCACTGATAATTTATTCTACTGGACTATATTTTTATCTGTTTTAATAGGAATCGTCTTCAGAAATGTCTTGACTGAAAACCTGTATCTTCATCCTGCTGACGATAGTGTTTAGCAATGAATCTGGGTTTTATCTTGGATAGACTCTTAATTTTATATAGGGAGTCTCAAAATAAACGGATAAAATTTTGAGGGAGGTAGGGCACATCTTAAGGATTGAGAACTGCATAGCAATGCAAGACCAGAAACGTCATTGTACATTGCTAAGTGGTACTCTGCACGAACGCATTTGAGAGGAAAGTGAGGATTTCCTCTGTCGGACAGTAGATAGCACATGAAGAGCACGCAACAATATACGAACGATGAGCTTGCAGACGTGCACGTAGTATATGGAATAGCTACGAGCAATGAACGAGCCGCTGAATGAATTTATCGAGAACGCTTTCCGAACAGATCTCAGCCGTGCCTTAATGTGTGTATGCATTAAGAGTCGTTAGGAACTGAAAGGACTAGTGAAGGCAGATCACGATCGACGCGCTCGGTCGTTATGGGAAAAAAAAAAAAAAAAAAAAGTTGGTTGATGTGGAGAGTAATCTCAGAACTAGCACACAGTCAGCACCGTCTTTGATAATCAACCGATTGTTGAACAGAAATAAGCGTAATAGTGCAGATGAAGAAAATATCTTTTCAACAAGGGCACGATTGTTAAAAAACGAAAATATCGTAAACATGATGACAGTTACTTAGAGTTTGGGTTTACGTCAACAGAAATAAATGATAAAGAGAGAGCGCGATGTATATTGTATATGAAAATTATGGCAGCAGAGTGTATACTAACAAGTAAATTGAAGCGCTATTTAGGCAAAGTCATTTTTCTAGCCAGATAATTAAAAGAACTGAAAAAAATATATTTTCAAAAACTGCATCAATACCAAACAATGTTTTGCTAGCATCATACAAAATGGCTTACAGAATCGCGAAATGTAAGAAGCCTCGTAACATCGCAGAAGAACTAACCGGCTTCGAAGACTACAACATATGGCGGAGGATATCAACGATCAAATAACTGAAAAAATTAAAGGAGTGGAATATGCATTGCAGTTATATGAGGCTAAGGATAATAATAAGTACGCTAAACTGATATGCTCTATACGGCTTATAGATGATAATAACAGTAAATAGCACCGTTTTTGTAAAAACAGCACTGCAGGAGCGAAGGCTCAAGACCTGTTCGAGATTCTTGATGCATACATATCTGAAAATAATTAAAATTGGCCTAAGTGAGTTGGTGTCTGTAGTGATGGAGCTCCCTCCATGTCTGACTGCTCTGGTGGATTATGGGCACTTATTCAAAGCAAATCACCAAATGCACTGTGGATCTATAGCATTATTCACTGAGAAGCGCTTGCTTCAAAGCATCTGAATCTTGCGCTGAATCTGGTGTT